TGTGTGTGTGTGTGTGTGTGTGTGTGTCTGTGTCTGTGTGTGTGTGTGTGTGTGTGGTGGTGGCCGCGGGAGTGCATTTGTGCCAGTATCTGAGAACAGGGAATGAAAGAAAAGTCTGTTTTCAGGGGATCTTTGCCCAGCTCCAGACAGATGCAGAGCCCCAGGCAGATTCACAGGAGCTATAAGGATTTGGAAAAAAACTGTGAAGACAGCCCAAGATTTTAACACCATGACTGTCGCCAACCGTGTTGAATTGTGTGGGTTTTCACTCACACAAATGCATGTCCACAAACAGAAGAATTTCATATAGAGGTGTACACACACACACACGCACGCACGCACGCACAGACCACACCTGGATTCTCCCACTGACTCACACGGCTGAACACACGTTCACACCCTCTCATACACCCATGCCTTGTTCACCTGCTCCCCCATACTGGTAAAATGTGGGCATACACTGGCATATACGCCACAGACATACTGCAAAACCAGGCACCTACATCCACGCACCGGCAGGACAGGGCTCTTGGAGCTGTGTGAAAATACTCTCATAAACCAGTGGTTATTCCCCTCTCCCTACAGGCGAGGTCCTGTGCTAGGTGATTTCCATGCAGGAGTCGGTGTGACTCATACCAACTCGAAGATTAGACCTGCTGCTATCTCCAATGAGATGGGGACCTCAGGCTCTGGGAACTTAAGTAGCTGTCCAAGGTCACCCCACCAGAAAGTGCAAGTTAGGAGAGCCTGGATTCTGAGCCTTCAGTCAGCGGTCACAGTCACCCCAGGCCACAGCCGGCACCTGGTGTTTGCCAAACCTCTCCTGGTTTCGCACGTAACCTAGTTATTAGTTTTGGAATCCAGAAACCCCTCACTGAACCCCAGATCCTCAGATCAAGGTCAGGCAGTGGTCTGCCCCCCGCCACCCGTCAAAGGGTGAGCAACTCTTTCCAGATTGGGAACACCGGGCAGATTTTCCTCCTTTGCCTGTCTTTAAATAGTAAGGATTGTGGCCAGTCTACCTCCCTCGCTTTACTTCTGTGCTCCAGCCACTCCAGCCTCGCTTCAGAACCTCTTATGTTTCATGATCCCTGCTGCCCCAGGGTCTTTGCACATGCTGTTCCTGCTTGGAGTACTACCTTCACCTAATGAATTCTTATTTACCCAGTATATCTCCACCCATATGTCACCTCTTCAGGAAAGCCTTCCCTGATTTCCCTGACTCTCACTCTACCATGTGATGTATCTTTCCTTTAGGATAACCTATCATAGCTGTAATTTTTGTGGGACATTTGATTAATGGCTGTCTAGTGTTTTGGGGCACCCCGAAGTCAGAGAACGTCATGGCAAAAGGGGCTCAGGGTTGATCCTGTCCCACGTTGCCCAAATTTTAGTATGACTGAAACAACTTTTACACATCCACTTACTGGATAAAATATATAAGAAAATAATAAAATTTATCACTTTTTATTTGCTCAATATTTTTCTTTAAATCAGCTTACTTTGTACATTGAAAAATATATTTAAATGGAAAATTTTATATCACGACCATGAAAAAAATCAGTATCTATTGTCGTAAATAGAAACTATAAAATAGGTACTCAATGACCCTGGGCACGGTGGCTCATGCCTGTAATCCCAGCACTTTGGGAGGCTGAGGCAGGTGGATCACAAGGTCAGGAGATTGAGACCATCCTGGCCAACATGGTGAAATGCCGTCTCTACTAAAAAAATACAAAAAAATTAGCCAGGTGTAATGGCAGGTGCCTGTAATTCCAGCTAGTCGGGAGGCTGAGGCAGGAAAATCTCTTGAACCCCGGAGCCAGAGGTTGCAGTAAGCCGAGATCGAGACACTGCACTCCAGCCTGGGTGGCAAAAAAAGAAGTACTCAATGAAGGCAAATCTGCGTTAGTACGTTCTGGCTGGATGAGATTGGCGGTGAACAATTTCAAGCCTGAGGACTGTTTTCTTTTTGTTAAAAGGAGTGATGAGTGTCTGAGGGGTGCTCGAGATAAAGTGACCCCAGACTAAGGTGCTGTCCTTGGTGTCATCGGGAGGCGTGAAGAGAATTCGCTTTGATTTCACTCGATCTATGTCCTCCCAAAACCGTTGTGTGGGCCACCTGTGAGAAAAACTGGTCAAGTTCAGGGTTGTTTTGTTTTGTTTTGTTTTGTTTTCAAGATGGAGTCTCACTCTGTCACCAGGCTGGAGTGCAGTGGGACGATCTTGGCTCACTGCAACTTCCGCCTCCCAGGTTTAAGCAATTCTCGTGCCTCAGCCTCCCAAGTAGCTGGGACTACAGGTGCGTGACACTACGCCCAGCTAATTTTTGTACTTTTTAGTAGAGATGGGGTTTCAGTATGTTGGCCAGGCTGGTCTCGAACTCCTGACCTCAAGTGATCCTCCCACCACAACCTCCCAAAGTGCTGGGATTACAGGCATGAGCCACCACACCCAGCCAAGTTCAATTCATTTAATTCATTCAACATTGCCCAAGTACCTGCTGCATGGCAGTCCTCCACCCCAGTTCCCGACTGTGGGCCAGGCCCTGTATAAAGACCTGGTTCCTGCCTTGGGGGCTGGCAGTCCATGGAGAAGGCAGGTTCATCCGCAGAGAATTCTAGGCTGTGTCTGATGGATGGTGGGAATCCATCCCTCTGCCTGGAAGCACATGTGTCCTGAAGAGCAAAGAGAAGAGTCCAGGGAGCGATGAAGTGGAAGGAGAAACACAGACATGTGTGTCCAGGTGGTACTTCCTGAGGTGGGGCATCCATCAGGGAGTCCAGGAGGGGAGATTGTAGATGGCACTCAGATGAACATTTTTAAGCTTGCAGATTTTCGTCTTAGTGACTACTAGGAAGTGATTTAAACAGCACACACACATAATAATAAATACAAATACTCTTTTTTGAGACAGGGTCTTGCTTCATCACCTGACCTGGATGGAGTACAGTGGTATGATCATAGCTCACTGTAGCCTCTATCTCCCAGGCTCAAGCAATCCTCCCACCTCAGCCTCTCAAGCAGCTAGGACTACAGGTGCGTGCCACCATGCTCAGCTAATTTTTTATTTTTTGTAGAGATAGGGCCTCCCTGTGTTGCCTAGGCTGGTCTTGAACTCCTGGGCTCAAGCGATTCTCCTGCCTCAGCCTCCCCAAAGTGCTGGGATTACAGGCATGAGTCACCACACCCAGCCAAAAAATAAATTTAAGTTGAAAAAGAATTGACAAAAAGTCAAACGTTAAGTAAATAATAATTAATAAAAAAGATTAAGCCAGTAACAAATTAGAATATGTGAGCATGGCAAGAGAACCTCATGAATGAGGCCCATGATGATTGGAAACCCCTGGGCTAGAGCATAAAGTATATTTAGAAGGAGCAGGGAAGGTAAGCTGGGAGCTGACTGACAGGCCACAGCACCAGGCCAGCGAGCTGCTAAGGCAATAGGGAGCCAGCCAAGGTTGTGGAGCAGTGGAGGGTCACAGTTGGATCTGTGTGTTAGGAAGCCCACTATGATGGCTAAGAGGAGCCTGGCGTAGTGGCAGGGAGCCCGGGGAAAGAGACAGGACAGCTGGTGGTCATGTGCTCACGGTCACACCCCAGCTCTGCCATTTACTAGCAGTAGAGCCTCAAGCTCAGTTTCTTAACTTGTAAAATGGGAATAAAAATACCCAGCTTATAGAATGATTGGGATGAGAAAATAGTTAATGGAACATGCTTAGCACAGGGCTAACGCACAAGACAGTAGGAAGCAGCTCTGGTTACACTTGTGATCGTGATGTGGTTTGGGTGGCAGATGGTGAGCCTAGGGCAAAGGAGAAGGGGAGACGGAGAGAAAGGAACAAACACAAAACTGAGGCTCCGCAGGAGAAGGGGTTGAGCTCACGCAGCTGATACAGACAGAGCTGGTCTTGAACGTGGGTCTTCTGACACCCACTCGCTTCTCGGTTCACTGCATCAGGGCTGTTTTTCCAGTTTCTGAAAGTTTTTTTTATACGGAGCCAATTCTCACTCATACCTCCACCCACACAAAAATAAAAAGGACTTAAAGCAGAAGTTTTAGTTGGAAGTAAGCAAGAACTTCCTGGCAGCCAGCGCCACAGAGTGCTAGTTCTGGAATCTCCAGCCTGGAGAAGTTCAGGAGGAGTGTCCCAGGTAGTTGAGACTGGAAGTCACAACCTGACACCCGCTGGGTCATATCTGGCTCACAGATGTGTTTGGCTTGGCCAACTTTTTCAAAATTGGGAGGTTTTACTGAAAAA